ACCTAAAGATGAAGTGACTTTGCTGTCACCTGGTGTCTTATTTTGGCTAAATTACAGTTTTTCCCATTCATTTCTATGGATGCCCATTTTTGACCCAAATACAAGATTTATTGTTAACATTGTAGAATTGAGTCAAAAAACATTGTGTGTGTTTAGGAGGCAAACTTAGGAAAAGTAGCCAAGTCTTGTACCGCTCAGATCAAGGGAAGTATTTTTAAAAAATAAAACAAAACTATTTTTCCCACATTTGTCCAGAATACGGTTTTAGGGTTAACTAACTGTAGGAAATATATATTTACCGCATTTTTGAATCTTGGTTAATGTTAACTTTATTTATATAGCGCTTTATACTGTACAGATTGTTTCAGATGATAACAGGAAATGATGCATTTCGTCTGAAGTCCGTTCAGTGGATTCAGTTCTGTTGTAAAGTGCATCAACTATCAAATTGGCTCATTTCATCAATAAAGCAGTGATGTCATCGTCCATCTCAGTTCAGTTCTCATACAGAAGCGTTCGCTCAGTCAGATCAATAATACTATTGAATATGAATTTACACACGGTGTGTGTTAAAGCATGTTAACATACACACATAAACAACATTAAACGCTGGATTTACACCACGGGGAGACTTTAATTGTCCAGGAACCCAAACTCCATCAGGTGACAGAATGGAGAAAAACCCAGTTTGCCCAACGAACGAACGAACAAACACGGGTTCGTTATGAATCAGGTTGCTTCACAACTCATTAGCATTCAGATATTTATCCAGTTCCTTTTACTTAAAGATGGATTCATCATGCTGGTTTGGAGCTGAAGCTGGTCATAGGGTCTGTGTGAAGGACCGGTCTGGTTCTTGTGTCTGTTGTGGTCGTGTCTAGATGCAGGTCCACATCTGATCTGGATACGGGCCGGATCTGGCTGACTACGGTAACCTCGGGAAAAGGATGAGACGGACAGGCTAACGTCGCGTGTTATAGGGACAGCCTAGAATCATTTAACTGATTTGAATAGTAGAAATTGATAATGCTCGATGTGTGTGTGTCAGGTTAAAGAGATGTGTGTGTAGTCTAGACTTGAACTGACGGAGTGTGTGTGCTTATCGAACAATGCTAGGAAGACTGTTCCTGAGTTATGGTGCTAAATAGGAAAAGGATCAGTTGTTGATTTTGATATTCTGACTAAAATGCGTTAAGAGCTCGCTCAAATACTGCGGAGCTAAAACATTTAATGCAAAAAAAACATTTAAATTGTATACAGTGTTTAATAGGAAGCCAATGCCGTGTTGACTGAACTGTTAACTTTTAATAAATTGTCATGATTTAAATTAATTAGATATGCTTTTTAATTACTAATTTTTAATTTAACCATTAAATCGAGTCCAGAATTTTTTTTTTAATTAATTTTGAAACTAAGAACGATGCTTTATTTAATAAATTTCACCTTTTATTTCAATTTTATTTTTTCAGTAATTTACGTGTTTTTTCACATTTCTTTTAGCTTTGTTTCAGAAATTATGTGCTTTTGTCATTTTTCTTGGTTTTTTTTCTCCATAATTTTGTTGTTTTTGTTAATTTTTTAATTAATTTAATTTTTTTAAATGCTTTTTTTTTTTACTTTTTTTTTGTAATTTGGCGCGTTTTAAAAAAACAAAAAACACATTTTTAGTTTTCATTTTGTTTGTTATTTTGTGATTTTGTCATTTTTTGACACGTTTTTGTTTTTAAATTTCAGTTGTTCAATTGTTCAAATTAAATAAATTTTTTGTTTGTTTTTGTGTTATACGATGCTTTATTTAATAGCTTTTTGAATGTGACCTTTTTATTTCAATTTTAGTTTTTTAGTCATTTACGTGGTGTTTTTTCACATTTTTTTAGCTTCAGTTTTGTTTCAGAAATTGTGCTTTAGTCATTTTTCAGTTTTTTTCATAATCTTGTTTTTGAATTTATTTTTTTTTTTTTAAACCATAAGTAGAAAATGTCATAACTTTTTTTATTTATTATTTTATTATTATTTTTTACTCTTAATGAATGAATCTCAATGAATCAGACATGCTTTTTTATTACCAACATTTAATTAAACCATTAAATCTGAGTCCATAAAAATTAAAACGGAATCCAGTAAAAAGCGGAATGGAATAAACGGAGTTGATAAGCCTCTATAAGCAGTCTGTCGTCACATGATGTTTGGTGATGTACTGATGGATTAATGCTTGTCGTCTTGAACGTCTCGATTTGCTTCAGCTAAGATCTTCAGAGTCAGAATATGTGTGTGTGTGTGTGTGTGAGCTGCTAATGATAGTGTTTCTCTTGCTCTCAGGCGACCTCACAGCTCTGGGAAACATCAACAGTCTTCATAGTTTACTGGGAGCAGGACCTCTGTTGCTGCCGCAGGGCCCGCCTCTGAACCAAACGCCCCTCAACCCGCTCACCTGCCTACAGGTACACACACACACACACACACACACACACACACACTGCTAGTCTCTGAACCAAATGCCCATTCAAATTTCTTTCTTTAGTATTGTCAAAATATGAATAATGTGTTCTCGCTGTCAGCTGACGATGACCCCGGCGCTCATGGGAGAGAAGCCAGCGAGTCTCCACCACACGTCGCCTCCGTCACAAGACGAGCTTCCAGCGGCTCAGATATCCCAGAATGCCTTGCTCCACACCGCCGGTCAGCAGAGAGAGGGTTCTGGTTCTGGGCTGTTCGACCCGTACGGTTCCTTCATGGACACCATCTACACCTCGTTCCTGCAGGTCAGCGAGCGCGACTCGGACTCCACGCCGCTGTCGTACCCGGAGCTGCCGCCGGCCCTCAGTCCCCGCCGGGCCTGTTCGGTCCACAACCCGGACCTGACCCGCCTCGGCATGGACTCGGCCCAGTCTCCGGCCCGCGGCACACCGAAGCTCAGCGAGGAGCCCTCCACGGCGCCGCCCTGCAGGCCGCTGGGGGCCGACGCTCTGTCCGACATCATGGAGGAGGCCAAGACCGACGGGTCCACGGTGTGTTACAGCAACGGGATCGGGTCGGGAGCGGGCGGAAGAGCAGACCGGGACGAGGAGGAGGACGAGGCAGACGAGGATGAGGAGGAGGGACGAAGAACGCAGGGCTGTTTGAGTCCGCCCGTCGATGACATCAGCAGCAGAGAGGCGGAGCAAGTGAGGGTGAGCCTGGTTTTGTTATTTATGTGCAAAAAAAATTGTTATGTGCTTTTGTTATTTTTTATGGGGGTTTTTTTTACGTTTTTAAATTTCAAAATAATTGTTCAAATTAAATAAAATTTTTGTTCGTTTTTCGTGTCATATTATGCTTTATTTAATAGGTTTTAAATGTCACTTTTTATTTCAATTTTAGTTTTTCAGTAATGTACGTGTTTTGTCACATTTTTTTTTTCAGAAATTATGTGCTTTTGTCATTTATCTGTTTTTTTCTCCATTATTTTGTTGTTTGTCAATTTTTTAATGCTTTTTTTTACATTTAATTTTTTTTTAGTTATTTGGCATGTCACATTTTTAGCTTTAATTTTGTTTCAGTTATTTTGTGATTTTTGTCATTTTTTTTTACACGTTTTTGTTATGTTTTTAAATTTCAGTTAGTAATTTTTCAAATTAAATAAAATTTTTGTTTGTTTTTGTGTTATACGATGCTTTATTTAATAGCTTTTTGAATGTCACCTTTTTATTTCAATTTTAGTTTTTCAGTCATTTACATGGTGTTTTTTTTTTCAATTTTGTTTCAGAAATTGTGCTTTTGTCATTTTTCTTTTTTTTCATAATCTTGTTGTTTTTGAATTTATGATTTTTTTAAACTTTTTTACATTTAATTATTTTTGGTTATTTGGTGTTAAAAAAACAAATAAACATTTTTCCCCATTTTTAACTTTAATTTTATTTCAGTAATTTTGTGATTTTTGTCATTTGTTTTTTATAAGTTGTTTTTTTTTTCAAAGTAAGAAATTTTTCAAATTGAACTTTTTCCATTTAACTTTGTCTAATTTTTGTTTGTTTTTCTTGTTATACTTTGCTTTATTTCTACAACTGAAAGGTTAAACGCTTCTAATAGTAAAAGATGATGTAATGTTACAGACTGACCAATAGCAGTGACCGATCTTAATTTCGCTGGTGTTGTTTGACAGACTGAAGACTTGCACGCAGGAGCCAGAAGGGGGCGCAAGAGGAAGCAGACGTGAGTGCATCTGGAGCTCGGCATGTTCCTTCACTCGTGTTGTAGTGTGTGTGTGTGTGTGTGTGTGTGTGTGTGTGTTTACTCTCTCCTCTTCCTCTTCCTCAGACTGCAGAGAAGTCCAGACCTGCCGGGCGGCATCGACAGCATCATCGAGGAGCCCGCCGCCACGGTGAGACACACACGCACACCTTACACTGTTTGAATGCACATGTACATTAATCAGTCTCAAGTCTTAAAAAATATTATATTCAGTTGTATCAAATTTAAGGGCATAAAAAGTCTTAAATAGTAGCATTACATACTTAAATGGTAAAAGTATTTTTTCCATTAGCTTTTGGTGAGTTTCTTTTTTTTTTTTTTTCGGAAGTTTTTTTTTTTTCATGAGGTCTTAGAATTCTTAAATTTAAGAGGTTTTTACATTTCAAGAGTTTTTTATTTTTTGTTTTTAAATTTCTAGAATTCCTAAACTTGTGGTTTTAAAATTTCGAGTTATTAATCTTAAGTGTTATTTTATATTTTATCATGTGTTTTTTTTTTAATTTAAAAACTTAAATTTAATACGTTTTTAAATGTTGATTTCAAGATGTTTTTAAATTCAAGAGGTTTTTATATTTCAAGAGGTCTTAATTTTGAGAAAGGAAAAGCAGGAATGTCCACATGGCGTAATGATGACGCTCAAGAACGCACTAAAGCCAAGTCGTGTGTGTTGTGTTGCAGATCCCGTCGTCGAGGCCGGCCCGCTCCACCCGAGGGAAGAGACGCCGCGTGGTCCGATAGATCTGACTGTACGGTACCACCAACACCAGCACTGTTGCCACGGCAACGCCGTCACTGTTGCCACGGCTACACCATCACAGCGTTTGACTGAGCCACACTGTGAAGAAGAGTCTCCCATGATCTCGCTCCTCCGTCGTGTGTGTGTGTGTGTGTGTTCGTCCAATGACTTCTGTTACCATTCTCGACCATTGTTACATGAACGCGTTCTTTTACCATCAGAGGGGTTTTACTAACGAGAACTATTGTTAAATTGTCGCACGAATGCATCAGTTTAGGAATAGCTGTTTGTTTACCAGTTCTTTATAATTATTATCTTTCTACATTTGCTTCTCTTTGATGATTGTGATTGACAGCTCTGCCTGGACATTCACTCCCATCAGTCTTTAGATGCACACGAGTCCATGTTGTCGTCATCAACAAATGACTGCTCGTGTTCCAGAGCCGGAAAACCCTGATCATTTTACCCATCATGCACCTCATGAACCACTTTTTAGCATCAAATGCAATTTTGTCACACCGCAAAAAAAAAAAAAAAAAAAAAAAAAATCTTATTTGGGAATTTTATCTGGTTTTTCAATACAAATATCTAAACATTCTCAGATCAAGATGCATATACTGGAAAAGCTAAATGTATTATAGACATTAAATATATACATATTTCATATATTGAGAGAAACATTTATCAAAATGAAGCATTTACTATACAGGTGAAACTGGAAAAATGAGAATATGGTGCAAAGTTCATTTATTTCAGTAATTCAACTTAAAAGGTGAATATTTAAAACTAAAATATTACATGCAAAGTGAGATATTTCAAGCCTTTATTTGTTATAATTTTGATGATTATGACGTATAGCTTGTGAAAACCCTAAATTCAAAATTAGAATATTGTGAGAAGGTTTTCATATCTGTATCTGCCATAATCATCAAAATTATAACAAATAAAGGCTTGAAATATCTCACTTTGCATGTAATGAGTCTATATAATATATTAGTTTCACCTTTTAAGTTGAATTGCTGAAATAAATTAACTTTTGTGCGATATTTACATTTTTTGAGTCTCAAGTGCAAATAAACATGACATTTCCTTGACGTCAGAAATAATCATGTTTGAAGCAAGAAAAAATATTTGCCAATAAATTTGAACGTATTTGGCAAAAACTCATTTTCCAGTAATCAAGACTCGAGTCTTTTTGCATCTTCAGTAAATGTACCTTGATTTAATAATGTTTCGAAAAATAAGACCGAAATACTGAAGAACATGATTTCTGCAGTGTTAAATGCGGCCCTGCGGAGACACTGAAGCCGTAAACACCCGGTGTCACTCATAACTCACAACGCTTGTCTTTGCAGGGCCGTATACATCAATATCTATATTTTGTAAGTGTGTGTGTGTTCCAGGAGGGCGTGAGTCTAGTGTATTTGTAGGTTTGTAGGGGCTTTAGTCGTGGATGGTGTCGCACAGGACTGTGTTTCCCAGAGCTCATCAACACAGGCACAAGATTATTACTGAATATTTAAAATAATGATTTAATAATGTGGCTGATTATGCAATTTTACTATTGAATTTATGTATATATGTACAGTTTTAGTATTTTATTTTGTACACCTTTTTTTAGGAAAAAATGATCAATTTGTAAAATATTTCTCCCGCAGAGAAACTTTCCTTTCTCATATTCATGTTTGATTTGTAAAGAAAATACTTTGAGAATTGTGAACAAGTAGCATTTCCTTTTTTCTTTTTTTATTGGGAGTTCTTTTTTTTATTTAACAAATTAAAAGGTTTTAAATGATGAAATGTTCTCTTCTGATTATTTCTTGTCCGATAGAGTTTCCGAGTTGGATATTCCTAGTCGGAAATAGGACCTAAATGGCCTCGCATATTTTCTCAAGTACAGCCTCTCAGAATATTTATTACAATTTAATGAATTCATTACATGTAATGCTGCCTTCACATATCATAAATACAAGTTTCCTAGTCAGAAATTTCTAGTCGAAAGTTGGAAATTCCTAGCCAGAAATTGTCCCAGTAACCAGTAAAAAAAGGCATATAAATTTCATATTGTGTTTCATACTCAACACAAATTTGACCATAATATAGATTTTGGAGGAAAAAAAAAACAACTCTTGCCATGAACTAAACTAAGCTGGAGAACAAACTAATGTCCATATGAAAATAATAATGAATTAAAGCAATGCATTTAACTCAAGTGATTAATATATCAGCATCAGGAAAATCGATTTCTAACCCTGAAAAAGTTCTGCAAAACATTCTCACAAAAACTTTATACACACATGAACATTCAACAAACAAAAACGTAGTATTAAAATCTCTGGATAATAGCATGCTTCCAGAAAATGGAGTCTCTAGACCCTTCCAGAGCTGAGATATTGAGATCCCCAAACCCACTATTTTTATAATGGGATAAATGCTACGTGGGATCGCAATATCTCAGCTCTGGAAGGGTCTAGAGACTCCATTTTTGCACTCAGGTCTAAGTCTCATGCCCCTCTATCAGAATCCAGAGTTTCAAGAAGATCAGAGAAACTCAAAATTTCAACCCCTCCCCAAAAAAACCAAAGGGGTACCACTGTCGTTTTTTTTTTTGGGTCGAATTTTTGAGTTTCGATATCTCAGCTCTGGAAGGGTCTAGAGCCTCCATTTTTGCACTCAGGTTTAAGTCTCATGCCCGTCTATCAGAATCCAGAGTTTTGAGAAGATTGGAGAAACTTCATGTTTCGCCCGAAAAAAATAAACGAAAGGGGTACCACTGTCGTTTTTTTTTTTCGGGTCGAAATTTTGAGTTTCAATATCTCAGCTCTGGAAGGGTCTAGAGCCTCCATTTTTGCACTCAGGTTTAAGTCTCATGGCCCTTTATCAGAATCCAGAGTTTTGAGAAGATTGGAGAAACTTCATTTTTCGCCCGAAAAAAACAAACGAAAGGGGTACCACTGTCGTTTTTTTTTTTCGGGTCGAATTTTTGAGTTTCGATATCTCAGCTCTGGAAGGGTCTAGAGCCTCCATTTTTGCACTCAGGTTTAAGTCTCATGGCCGTCTATCAGAATCCAGAGTTTTGAGAAGATTGGAGAAACTTCATTTTTCGCCCGAAAAACAAAAACGAAAGGGGTACCACTGTCGTTTTTTTTCGGGTCGAATTTTTGAGTTTCGATATCTCAGCTCTGGAAGGGTCTTGAGCCTCCATTTTTGCACTCAGGTTTAAGTCTCATGGCCCTCTATCAGAATCCAGAGTTTTGAGAAGATTGGAGAAACTTCATTTTTCGCCCGAAAAAAAAAACGAAAGGGGTACCACTGTCGTTTTTTTTTTGGGTCGAATTTTTGAGTTTCGATATCTCAGCTCTGGAAGGGTCTAGAGCCTCCATTTTTGCACTCAGGTTTAAGTCTCATGGCCCTCTATCAGAATCCAGAGTTTTGAGAAGATTGGAGAAACTTCATTTTTCGCCCGAAAAAAAAAAACGAAAGGGGTACCACTGTCGTTTTTTTTTCGGGTCGAATTTTTGAGTTTCGATATCTCAGCTCTGGAAGGGTCTAGAGCCTCCATTTTTGCACTCAGGTTTAAGTCTCATGGCCCTCTATCAGAATCCAGAGTTTTGAGAAGATTGGAGAAACTTCATTTTTCGCCCGAAAAAAAAACGAAAGGGGTACCACTGTCGTTTTTTTTGGGGGGTCGAATTTTTGAGTTTCGATATCTCAGCTCTGGAAGGGTCTAGAGCCTCCATTTTTGCACTCAGGTTTAAGTCTCATGGCCCTCTATCAGAATCCAGAGTTTTGAGAAGATTGGAGAAACTTAATTTTTCGCCCGAAAAAAAAAACGAAAGGGGTACCACTGTCGTTTTTTTTTTTCGGGTCGAATTTTTGAGTTTCGATATCTCAGCTCTGGAAGGGTCTAGAGCCTCCATTTTTGCACTCAGGTTTAAGTCTCATGGCCTCTATCAGAATCCAGAGTTTTGAGAAGATTGGAGAAACTTCATTTTTCGCCCGAAAAAAAAAAACGAAAGGGGTACCACTGTCGTTTTTTTTTTGGGTCGAATTTTTGAGTTTCGATATCTCAGCTCTGGAAGGGTCTAGAGCCTCCATTTTTGCACTCAGGTCTAAGTCTCATGCCCCTCTATCAGAATCGAGAGTTTCAAGAAGATCAGAGAAACTCAAAATTTCAACCCCTCCCCAAAAAAACCAAAGGGGTACCACTGTCGTTTTTTTTTTGGGTCGAATTTTTGAGTTTCGATATCTCAGCTCTGGAAGGGTCTAGAGCCTCCATTTTTGCACTCAGGTTTAAGTCTCATGCCCGTCTATCAGAATCCAGAGTTTTGAGAAGATTGGAGAAACTTCATTTTTCGCCCGAAAAAAAAAAACGAAAGGGGTACCACTGTCGTTTTTTTTTTCGGGTCGAAATTTTGAGTTTCGATATCTCAGCTCTGGAAGGGTCTAGAGCCTCCATTTTTGCACTCAGGTTTAAGTCTCACAGCCCTCTATCAGAATCCAGAGTTTTGAGAAGATTGGAGAAACTTCATTTTTCGCCCGAAAAAAAAAACGAAAGGGGTACCACTGTCGTTTTTTTTTCGGGTCGAAATTTTGAGTTTCGATATCTCAGCTCTGGAAGGGTCTAGAGCCTCCATTTTTGCACTCAGGTTTAAGTCTCACAGCCCTCTATCAGAATCCAGAGTTTTGAGAAGATTGGAGAAACTTAATTTTTCGCCCGAAAAAAAAAAAACGAAAGGGGTACCACTGTCGTTTTTTTTTCGGGTCGAAATTTTGAGTTTCGATATCTCAGCTCTGGAAGGGTCTAGAGCCTCCATTTTTGCACTCAGGTTTAAGTCTCATGGCCCTCTATCAGAATCCAGAGTTTTGAGAAGATTGGAGAAACTTATTTTTCGCCCGAAAAAAAAAAACGAAAGGGGTACCACTGTCGTTTTTTTTTTTCGGGTCGAATTTTTGAGTTTCGATATCTCAGCTCTGGAAGGGTCTAGAGCCTCCATTTTTGCACTCAGGTTTAAGTCTCATGGCCCTCTATCAGAATCCAGAGTTTTGAGAAGATTGGAGAAACTTAATTTTTCGCCCGAAAAAAAAAAAACGAAAGGGGTACCACTGTCGTTTTTTTTTTGGGTCGAATTTTTGAGTTTCGATATCTCAGCTCTGGAAGGGTCTAGAGCCTCCATTTTTGCACTCAGGTTTAAGTCTCATGGCCCTCTATCAGAATCCAGAGTTTTGAGAAGATTGGAGAAACTTAATTTTTCGCCCGAAAAAAAAAAACGAAAGGGGTACCACTGTCGTTTTTTTTCGGGTCGAATTTTTGAGTTTCGATATCTCAGCTCTGGAAGGGTCTAGAGCCTCCATTTTTGCACTCAGGTCTAAGTCTCATGGCCCTCTATCAGAATCCAGAGTTTTGAGAAGATTGGAGAAACTTTAATTTTTCGCCTGAAAAACAAAACGAAAGGGGTACCACTGTCGTTTTTTTTTGGGTCGAATTTTGAGTTTCGATATCTCAGCTCTGGAAGGGTCTAGAGCCTCCATTTTTGCACTCAGGTTTAAGTCTCATGGCCCTTTATCAGAATCCAGAGTTTTGAGAAGATTGGAGAAACTTCATTTTTCGCCCGAAAAAAAAAACGAAAGGGGTACCACTGTCGTTTTTTTTTTCGGGTCGAAATTTTGAGTTTCGA